CGATGATGGGATGGTGACGGTGGTGGTGGTGTTGGTATAATGGTAACGGTGATGGTAGCGGTGGCGGTGGCGGCGGTGGCGGTGGCGGCGGCGGCGACGATGGTAGTGGCAACGGACAAACACATTACTCTTTTATTTAAAACCCGTTCCGGCATCAAACACAATGCGAAGCGATGCTCAGACGTTTCTCTACGCTCCGCCTTTTGTTTCAGCCGACTGTTCTTAACCACGCACGCCTGTGTCTCCTCCTCGCCCTCTCGAGAAACGTGTCTTCTTTTTCTTTTCCTTCTTTTTTCTTCCCTTCTTCCATCCATACCGTACATACCGTACTTCGCTCTTTTCTCTCTCTCTCTCTCTCTGCTCGCCACCTTCCTTCTTCCCTCTTGCCATTCTACCTTCCATCCCTCTCTCCCATTCGCTCTTTTTCGTTGGATACGGTCTATAAACCGCAACCAACACCGTCATCGCGACGAGTCTTCTTTGAATCATATTGTACAATGAGATTTGAATAGAGAAGGGAGGAGGGAGAAGGAGAGCAAAGCCCCATTGTCGTTTCACCAATGGCGGCCGATTTTATAGTGATCTAATGTACAGATGTTATTTACCCCGCAATGAGAATAGAATAAAAGCATTGTGCGCATTATGATTTGAATCCCGTATCTCGCTACGTTTCTATACCTACCCTCCTACCTACCTACCTACCTACCTACCCTCACCCTATCTAGCCCTAGCCCACCCTAACACGCGCGATATATGTACGTAATGTAGACGCGCGCGTAAAACTTGCTCGCGTTTCCGAACCTTTCGTCTTAACAATAAGCCCGAAAAGTAACAATCGCGGTATCAGCTATCTCGAGTGAATGCTCGGCGATATTAGTGCACGCGAACGTACAAATTCAGGACATTATCCTCGAAGGGCCGTACAAGTAACAATGACACTATGCGAAAAGGTCTTTAAAAAGGATTCAAGAAATAACGTGTCGATTGGTGTTTTTCAACAACATATAGGAATCTGATTAAAGCGAGATTAAAAATGAAAAACCCGCGATTATCCACTTATCAAATGTATGTATTTCATATTTTCCATCCGCCCTTTTTACGGGCGGCTCGCTGAGTTTACGGGTATCACGGGTAAATAATATTGTACTTGTGTCGCAAATCGCAAATCGTAACGTAATAACGTGTCACGCGCAACCCCCAATTTCCACTCGGTCAAATTATCCACATTGTAATTTAGCAATCGATGAAATTGAATATGTCTGCTGCGAGCATCATCGAGAGTCATAGTGTCATACGAGCAAGTTTAAATACAATTGAACGCGCGACGGGAAATGACTTTTTTCGATGACGCCCTCACGAAAAGATTTTTCATTTGACGGCGAATTTGAGCAATAATAAAAGAGAATATTCCAAACGGGAAAGTTCGTTGACGTTGCGTTAGCGTATAGCGTATATATACATATACAGCACGGACATGGACACGAACACGGACACGGACCTTTTTTACTCTCGCACATCGGCCACTCAAAGTGAACGTACATACCGATGGGGAAATCAATAAACCAATAGGTTCGCCAATACATGCCCGTTCATTAAGTATCATGTACTTTTTGTACCAAAATTCGAAAACGCAAAATCAGAGAAATCGTCCAATATTATAAAGCGGATTACTAGCGGAAACGTCGTCTATCCGTCTATCGAAAGTCGTTTCGCTTTTCTCATTGTCATTGTCAGGCTATATAGAAATCCAATCGTGATATCGAATTGACGCAAAGAATTGCAAAACTGTCAAAACTGATGATTGCAATTTTATAAGAAAAAGCAATTTGACAATCAATATATGGTCGCGCGGGCGAGGCGCGTATGTATATCTACCGTACAGATAAGGATAAGTCGAGTCCCTCCAAACTTATTATATTATATATATGTTTGATGGAAATGGAAAGATTTTTATCGCAAATTCCTTTTCCCACGGTCTTGATTCCCACGATCTTTTTGTGCTTTCGAAATGTTTCCAAAAGTATCCTCTAAACTTATCTCCAAGATTCAAGTCGAATTGCTCGGCATTGCGGAACAAAAGTTGTTCGCCCACACGCGCACTCGAGATCGTCCGTGGATCATGTACACCCTTGGATAAATGGCACGCACAGATTTTCATTGATCGAGATCGAGATCGTGATCGCGGCAATATCGAATTACGATGTTTGCAAACGTTGGTCGTTGAATTCACTCCTGACACTACGCGCCACGGACGATCGGTCGAATAAAAGCCGCGATCGGATAAGCGAGATTAGATTATAGTCGCCACGTAAAAGCCTCCCCGCTCTCCCCTGGAAGAAAGCGCAGGCAGGTAAGAGATATGCTTACGCGACGCTTCGATCTCGACGGGTTTCTTTTCAACGTACCGAGCTACAATGTAACCTGTTTGCTCGATGGGGGTATGATAATCCGAATGATCGCTCCAATGTAAATTTTGACGTAAATTCCAATGTGCCTGTTATACGGCGGTATATTAGTATGATCTGTATAATCAGCATAATTAGTATACGGTAAAATGATAAATTATCGATAAGTTTAGGTTTAGCTTTTCCATTTCACTAGCCTGCTTAATTAATTCAAAACATATGTATAATGTGCATGATAAATCCATTTTACAATGGATTTTATATCAAACGAAATGTTCGAAATAACTTTTCATTCTAGCTGTTTACTGCACAACGCGAATAGTTGGGAATTGAAAAATTTTATTCTTACGTAAAATTTACTTCAGACCGCATTTCTCCGTTAAAGATTACTCTGAATACTTCGGTTTTGCCTCAGTCATTAGTTTTTCTCGTCGACATTGCAACTAGAGCCTAAAGTATATCAATTTTTTCGGCAATTCCCAAGAGGAACGATGATCGCTGTTGATTAATCTCACCCTCTGGATGATACCACCACACGTATATCGGTACATACATATACGTTATCCATGTAGACCCGTGTACCTATTGCCTATTGGCGTCGCACCATTCAGGCTGTCGCATTGCGATGAAGCTCGCGCGATCTCGTCGCGATCTACCGCGCTGGTGAAATACCGTATGACTTTTTGACGTGCTTTTAACAGATTGAATTGAAAATGGCTTCGTGGCTCTCCCGATATATCCGCACCCGTCGCATATCCATATCCAAACCGAAACGACCGAACGAACGGACAGGCGAGGGAGACACGCGAGAGATATATAATTCTTCTCCTGTCCCCCCCCTCTCTCTCTCTCTCTCTTTCTCCCATCTCGATCTCTCGATCTCTCGTCCCTGATCTACCTACCTACCTACCCCTGGACTCCGTCATCCGCCACCCTCCGCGGACTCCGTTTCTCTCTTTTCATTTTTACACATTCGCTGATGCGGCAGATCGCAAGCTGCGCCGGCGGAAACGACGTCGGGACGTCGGGGACGGGGGTAGGAAAGGGGAGGAGGAGAAAGAGAGGAAAGAGAGCGGGACTGGACCGGTCAGTCCGTGCAGAAGTCGCGGAGGGGGCGAGCAGAAATAATGTCCTGGCTCATTTTTTTAAATCCGCCCCCGGATCCGCCGCGCCGGTAGAATGGTGGTCGAGACTCTACGGGGGAAAAAAAGTGACGGACGCGTAGAGGTATAGGTGCGGGCGCGAGCGAGTGCTTGGATCCGATATTACGGCGCAATAGCCCGACATAGGGCTGGCGCGGCGGTGGCCGGTTGGTCGGTTGGTTGGTTGGTTGGTTGGTTGGTCGGTCGGTTGGTCGGTCGGTCGGTTCGCCACCGGATGTGAAACGGTCAAAGCCAAAAAGCACTCTCCGCCGAAACGGGCTATATATTATCCGCAACCCTTCAAATACAGAACCGTCCGCGAAGAGATCCATACATAACGTATAACGTATAACGTGTGCGTAAGCTCCACTCATCCTGCGGAATTCTGCCAGCTCGAAAGCCACCGTCTGTGGCTCGAGCTTCAAGTATTCGCGTCGAATCAATTTCACTTCTTAGGCAACTTTTTTTTCTCTCCTTCGTATCTCTTTTAAGCAAAGATATATAAAATAACAGAGTTATAACCAACGCGTACAGTTTCTTCTGTTGTTAAATCATACAAAAATGCTAAATTTTACAGGTTTATTATCAAATTTTGTCTGTGGCCAAGATTAAGATTGGGTATCGCCAATATTCGGAAATACTCTTCTTATCGCATAAATATTTAAGCTAAGCATTAAGATACGACAAAATTGATATTCGTTTATGAGAAAAAAATACAATTTTTTGTTCCTAGAAAAAGCGGTGACGACCAGTTCGGTTGTTTTTTTTTTACTTTCTATTAGAAAATTAAATTTTATTAGGAAAATAGAGCTGATTTAAAATATATGTAAATATAAGCAATAGTTGCGTATTATACATATACAGAAGAGCTGGGCGTGGTTACGAGGGGTTGCGACTTCTCGGTTACGCTTTCATCGACCAATGCGAAGGGTTTTACCGTCTGGCAACTGTTGCAAACGCAAGCGCGCCGTCATGCCTACCTCTGCGAGCTCGCTATAGGCCACCGTATATTGGTCGCGGCACTGAATCCGATGACGTACAGGCGCAGACTCGAATGCTGGATGAGAGAGAGCTTTGTTACGAGCGCGCGTTACGCGGATGTGTAAGCTGAGAGAGAGCGAGAGCGAGAGCGAGAGAGAGAGAGAGAGATTGTTAATTCATTTTAAATTAATCTTTTCCGTTCTATATATCTACTACTTTATTCTCTTTACAATATAACAAACCTTTGTTCAGAAAGACATTTATACTTATACAAAGATTGAACGCTTATCAAAAACAATTAATGTGCATTACTGTATTGTTTAAAACGTATGTTACATGTACATATTATCTATTGCAACTTACTTTTTTCTTTTCTCTCTCTCCCTCTCTTCCCTTTCTTATTAATACAACTTAATTAGTTTTATTTACACTAGAGTAAAAAGTCCTCTTTCTATGCTTTCAATTCTAAAATATCATCTACGACTATAATTGAAGAAACTACTATATTTTTTGTAACAAGAAGATAAATTTATTTCAGCTACCGATTGTCGCTGTAACGAGTGCAGGGACAGCGAGTGGCAGTGAGACTGCGACGTCTGACAAATATATATTAAATATGTTCTTTTCCGTTTTGTCGTCAAGACACCTACCATATATTTTAACGATTCTTCACGGAACAACGTTCCAATGCCAAAATCATGCTATCTATTATTTGACTCGTACTGCTGTAGAAGTATTTATATTTATCATCGGCTTTCGGATGACGATTATAAATATCTCTCATAAATTCGCCGTCCGGAGTGAAGAAGAGGATCCTTGGAACGTAAGTTCCATCTGGTTGAAATCTTGCTTCGTCTTGCGCGGAAATCTCACCTTTCCTCACGCCCACCATAACGAAGCTGCGTCGTCACGAATTTATACAACAAATTCAACATTAATCTTACTAATCTTTACCCTTTACCCATTTCTTTTTCTTTCACTTGTACAACGCCTTAGTTGTGCCATTACGCAATATGCCATGCAAGTTTAATTATCAATAGCTCCCTTATAACATGATAACAACTGGGAAACGTGCGGGGTGCGGGCGTTTCATTTTCAAGTTGAATCAATTAAGTTGAACCGGAGCAAAATCGGAGAAAATACAAAATACGTTTAAGTAACGTTTACACGTTACGTTCGCAAAAAGGTATAGGTATAGGTATATGCTTACCGTTGGCTGAGGTCGAGAATTCTGATCGAGTTGGCGAATTTAGGCTTCAATTTCTCGCAAGTTGGACAGCCCGGCTTGTGGATTAGCAAAAATATCGGTTTTCTGCAGATTTTCGCCTCTTGGAAGCCTTCTTGCAGATTTCTCCATTTGTACATGCGTCCAAAGTTGCGGTTGGGATCGTCATCAGCGGCGATCACGTTCCTGAATATGCAACAATAACCGTAATAATAGGCTAAGGCGGAAACGTTCAGAGAGCCGAGACATTTCGCGTAACGCATCATTCGATTTCAAACTGTTCGTAACCAAACAATCAAGTTGTGATTTGACTTGTATTATGTTTTATTGTACATATGTATGTACATACATACGTGTCAATTCTCCGAGGTTTGAAACGCGACGCATATGTATTCGTATTCGTTCATTTCGTTCTCAAATTCATGTTGTCAAACTTCAAACGGGATGCGGAGTGCCATCTAACGTCGGCGGAGCAAACTAAACGTAAAACAACGGAAGAAACGCGAGCGACACCGAGCGACGACCGCGCGACGACGTTCGAAAAGATTACAAATATTTTCAAGTCAGAACCGCCAGAGGTCAGAGGCGCCGACTGCCGAGGCCGAGGCGCGCGTGCCCGTGTGGGGGGCTTGGGGCTGTGGCCACTGTGGCGCTGCTCTTTATCTTTATAGCTACACTGCTGCGGTGCTACCCTAGGCCCTAGACTGCACTGGACTGCACTAAAATTCCCTTTCCATTTCTACGCGAATTCTACGCTTTCTACTTTTCGCTAAACTTGAAGCATATGTGGTAATGCATATGTATACCAATTGAGCTATAATTATAAACAACAGACCTTATTGATTACAGAGGATATAGATTTTATGAATGGATATACAGGGCACACTCAGCACAGACTGCACAAAGATCATTGATCTCTACATTATCTGCAATAAAAATATTCTTTCTTTTCGCGCTCGTAGCTTTCCGCCACCCTCGATGGTTACTGTATGTATGTACATACGCTTTCACCCGTTGCATTATATATTTATAATGATTCTCAAATCAAGGAGTCGCCATTCCTTGGCGCGTTTATAATTTATGATTGTATTGTTTCGCGTTTCATGTCACTTGCGCTACTCGCTGTGCTCTTTCTGTTTCATCGTGTTTGTGCATACTGCATTTATCGTGTATAGTCCTATAGTCGTGTGTCGCGAGTTCTCTGACTTGTTGGTACTCGCCGTACTCGGTAGTGCCGGTGGATCCTCGTTTACTCTCTCTCTCTCTCTCTCTTTCTCTGCTTCGTAATTATCGTATTCTACAAAAGTGTGTTGTGTATGCGCTCGCGCACGCCGGTGATCGCGACTCAAGCTCAACTGACTTTGAGTCATTTTCTTACGTGTTTCTTGCGTTCGTGACGCAGGACGCAGGTTCAGGTTCAGGTTAGCGTTTGACAGTGGACAGTGGGACTGAGACTGAGTGTGAGGTGTGAGTGGGAATCAGTGGAAATCACAGGTGAGAGAGACAAGGGTGATCAGGGGGGAATGGTGGGAAACGCGCTTGTTCTACAGTTCTACACGAGTGCTCTTTAACGCCGTTTTTATCAATCGCCCCGGGCCGCTAATCAACTGATCGTTTCATGGAAAATATCGCGCGCGATATCACGATATTTCGAGATCACGGTATACCACGGTCACGGGTCACGGTATACCGGACGAAGCTGCATTCCAACCCATTATCTCGACAAGTCAACGGTGTGACAACAATATGAAGCCTTTAATCGAATTCGAAGAATGCTTTCGAGATACTCCCAAGTTTCGGTAAGATTCCCTCGCTCCTGATCCTAATCTCAAGTCTAATTGACTTGTTGTTTCACACAAAGGAGTACCCCCTATGCCCCATGTCCATCCTGTACCCGATCGCTTCTAGTTTAAGTTTGAGGGTACGCTCGATAAATTTTTAGTTCAAATTTGACGTATTCTATAATCGAAATGAGATCAAGTGAGAGATGTTGCATGAAATCGTCAATTTTACAGATCGTGCATCGAAGAGGTGGAGAAGAATGTGGATCAACTTGAACAAAAGTTAGATAAGGTAACGGACAATCTATTACTTACGTATATCATATGATTTATTGATGTAACTTTTGCATCATTTTTGGAAACGATACATATATGATGGAAATCAATAAAAATAAAAACAGTATAAAATTTAACGATGTAACAAGTGTATATATAATCTTTGCTTTTTTCTCAACTATCTTATTCTATTTCAATATACAATACATGCATTGAACGCCTTTGTTGTATAGCTTTATCATCTTTTTACAGGTATTGAAAAATTGCAGCTTAACCATCGATACCGGGAAAGCCTTTGTTGGACAGCAAAAGTAAGTTTCGTACAACTACTTATGCTTTTTGCTACTTTGATTGTCTGTTTCATCGTCAATCAATTATAATTATCATCTAAAACGGCCTAGAATTGAACAGTATTACAAAGGAAAGAAAGACATTAATAAAATCTTCGTGGTGGATAAATAAATAATCTTTTTTTATTATGTAGCGGTACCAAAAAATCAATTATAACCAAGGAAAAGTCAGAAATTGATGATAAATAATTTATTGAATAAAATATTCACAAAAAATTGATCATTTTTTGCACATTATGTTATGTTTACATCTATTCTTTTCAACATGTTCTTTTCAACATTTGTTTTGCTTTGTAAGATTCTGAATATTAATATAATATAAAATTCTATTTTTTCCATAGCCAATTTGCCAATAGTCTTTGGGAATTGTCTTTGTACTTCAGCGATGACCCGGAAATAATGGCATTTTTAAACAAGCTTATTCATGCTTTGCAAGAAATGAACAAGTATCATACAATTTTATTGGACCAAGCTTCTAGGACTGTGATGAAGGATCTTAATAATTTTATTAAAAGGTAAAGAAAGAATGAAATTTATTACGATATCCTTTCTTGATTCTCAAATCAAATTGACAAACTGGTTTATTCTACAGCTACAAATTTTTACGTCCATGTTTTTCTAGCGATATCAAGAAAGCGAAAGAGACTCGGCATTACTTTGAAAAAATTTCCGGTGATCTTGATGTTGCACTGAATAGGAATTCTCAAGTACCGAAATCTCGGCCTGTGGAATACGAGGAGGCATCAAATATTCTGTCGGCTACCCGATCGTGCTTTCGACACACCGCGCTAGACTACATTCACGCATTGACGATGCTGCAAGCGCACAAACGACACGAAATATTAGGCACATTACTGAGTTACATGCACGCATGTATTACTTATTACCATCAAGGTAGCGATCTTGCTCAAGACTTGGATCCTTTTCTGAAAGATCTCGATGAAAATTTAGTTAAGATGAGAGGTGATTCAAATAAACTTGAAAAAGAAATGGAAAATCGTCATATTTATGTCAATAATCGAGATCTGATCCCTTCTCTGATACCTGGAAATTCCAAGATGGAAGGCTATTTATTCAAAAGGACTAGCAACGCTTTCAAAACTTGGAATAGAAGGTGGTTCTGCTTGAAGGATCATCAACTGGTGTACCGAAAACGAACAGGTGACGAAGGATATACAATTATGGAAGAAGATTTGCGACTATGCACTGTAAAACCTGTAGTTGATTGCGATAGAAGGAATTGTTTTGAAGTTTTAAGTCCAACCAAGTGAGTAGATTTCCTGATTTGTGCAGTGATGAATATTAAAAGAAAGAGTTACTCGGTAGAATTTTCAATAATGAAAAAAAAAATCTATTTTCTTTTAAGGAGTCATATGTTGCAAGCAGACAGCGAAGAAACGTATTTGGCGTGGGTAACTGCGATGCAGCAAGCTATTGGTGCTGCTATTCAGAGAGGCATGAGTGTAACTGCTAATATTAATCCACATCAATTACAATCACGTGATAATAAGGGTTCTGCTAGGCCATTAACAAAATTGAAATCAAGGTGAGTATCGCCGTTACTTTTTACGCATCGATTCGTGTTGAAAAAAGAGAGCGAGTGTGTTTTATCAGAATTTATTTTAATTTTGACATTTCAGAGTGTGGGAGCAGTTATTAAAAATCTCGGGTAACGAGGTTTGCTGCGACTGTGGCGATGTTAACCCACGGTGGGCTAGCATCAATCTGGGTATTACACTTTGCATAGGTAAACTTAAAAAAAAAATGTATACACTGTAGCGCTGCTACACGTACTACATTGCTATACTCAAAATATTTTTTATATTTATCTAGAGTGTTCTGGTGTACATAGAAGTCTTGGAGTACACTATAGCAAAGTTCGATCCTTAACTCTGGACGATTGGGAGCCAGAAATACTGAAAGTGATGGCAGAATTAGGCAATTCCGTGGTAAATAGCATATACGAAGCTCTACCAGTACCTTCCGACATTATTAAAGCTATACCAAAATGCAATGGGTATATATCACGATAAGTTGATCAACTATTTCTTACTAAATGACAATAAGAGAATATCTTACAAAAATCTTTTACATCTCTTTTTTTTCTAGTAACATTCGAGAAGCTTGGATAAAGTTCAAGTACGTAGATCGTAAGTTCGTAAAACCTCTGACGGATGTGATACCGGCTGGACATCATGCGAGTCGAGAGCAAATGCGATTTCGGAAATGGAGCGTGCGTAAACTACGCCGCAGACCACGCAGTTGCGATAAGATCGATACTAGTAATGTCAATGAAACATTGTCAACATTGTCATCTGTAAAAGAAAATCATCCTTCAACTAGCTCGGACGAAAGCAAACACACGTCAATCGATAGTTTGAATTCCATTGGCAGAGCGAAGAAGCCGGAACGAAATTCCGTAAGCTCGGACGACAGTGCTAATATAGATTTGAGAAATAACTCTACCCTTTATGGAAAGATCTTGAACCGTTCGCAGAACGATTTGAATGATACTAATAAATATGTTAAGAGTACAATTGCAACTCATGGAGAAGTTGCAAGCGGCGAGCCGCTTGTAAAAGAGCTTAATTCGGTAGAAAGCGAACTGATGCTGAATACATTAACAGTTAATATTAATACGTCTTCAGTCGGCGAATCAGACGATAATTCCAATAATAAAGTCAAAGACGATGAAAACATCTCAGGAAATAAAGATTCCGGGTCGGAGAAGCATTGTAGAATGGAAAAAGTAGAATCAGCTGTATTAATGTTTGGTTGCGATATACCGAAACCTGCTATTGATGACAATTTAGAACTGAGTTCTGATCAAGATTCAACGGCTGGCGAGGATGAAGAATTTACTGATGAAGAAGATATAGAAAATCTCCATCCTGAGATGCTGCTTTATAAAGCTGCAGCAGCGCATAATTTACCCGTAATGTGTGCAGCATTAGCGGTCGGTGCTGACAAATTGTGGTCCAATGTTAATGATAAAAGCCGCAGTCCCCTGCATCAAGCGATAATAAGTGTATGTATGACGTTTTATATATACAAAATAGTACACAAATATACAATATATAAATTTTCTTTCCCCCCCCCCCCCAATTGTGTTTTATATTTTTTTTTACATTGTTTTTGCAGAAAAACAAGCTTCAAAATATAAAAGTGTAATAATGACCGTTTATTTTCTTGTATACAGGGTTCCGTTATGTCATGTGAGTATCTACTTCTGAATGGTGCGCGAATCAATTGTCAAGACGCCGAGGGGAAAACGCCGTTGTATTTAGCGACAGAATTAGGTATACGCTAATATTTTTTTTTGTCCCCCCGAGAGGGAGGAAAGAGTATATTACAATCTTACAAATATTTATGCTTGTATGTAGGACACACTGCACAAGTATGTTTACTTCTTAAACATCGTGCTGATCAACATATTAAAGATGAAAGCGGAATAAAACCTTTGTCGATTGCTGTAAAAGAAGCAAATGCCGATATCGTTACTTTGTAAGTATTGTCTGCAAAAGTTTCTTTACATATTAAAAGATTTTGTTTCATTACATCGACGTATCTATGTCAGATTACGACTTGGTCTCCTAAATGAAGAAATGAAAGACTCTGAAATAGGCGTCACCGGTGATGAAACGTTCAATGACGTCGTTCGTGATTTCAGTCAGTTGGCTTGCTCGCATCCAGAACGACTGCAACGTCGAAATGAAACCACAAATTTATCACATATGCCTGAATGAGGCTTACAAATTCTAATATAACACTTAACATTTATAAATAAATTATATTTTATATATCATGAATCACAAAAGCGCGCGCTACTCTTCAAATTGTTGCAGAATATCAATTAATTATTGTTAGCAGAATTAATGTTAGTAGAAATTGGCATTTGAAAAATTATCGGCTATCAATTGTTTTTCTTTGTTTTAAAAACTAAACAATTATAATTGTAATATTCAAAATAATTCCACTACACTCTTCCAGCCCTTGATATAGTTCATTATTGTAAAATTGGTAAAGATAATTAATTGGAGTTACGATGACTACCTTCCACTAATGATAAGGTATAAACGCATACACACATAGAATTATTGTATATACATAATCCACTGGGCCGTATAGTGCCTCAAGCGATTCGGTGTTTGGTAGAATTACGACATCGAGACATCACACACCTTTTTTTTTAAATATCTAAAAGCAAAGATAAAATATAAACACAGATAAATATTACTTATAAATAACTTATATACATAATGTAGAAACGTATGGAAAGATCTGCTTAATTCGCATTACATTGAAAGTTTCGCTACTGTATAATAAATTTTTAATACATTTATCTGACGGCGGATATAATCGTAAAATAGATTTTTTTTTACATATTTTATTGCGTTTTTATATTTATAACTAACACATGTTAATTACATGTATATGTAAGTAGGATAGGCAATATACGAACGTTTTTGATATAATCGACGTTATCGTTGACACTAGATCATTGTATCACTGTATCAACATTATTTCATTTCTTGCATAACACATGCGCAAGAGATCATTAATATTGCGTGCTTTAGCTGTTATTCTAAATATTATGCTAAAGATATACGCATGAGTTTTTAATCAAGAAAATAGTTTAGAAATATTATTGATAGCTGATAAATCTAACGATACGTTTTAATATTGTTATCATTGATATACTTTAGGGAAGTGATTCCAACGTTGTTACCGATTTGATGTCCGTGAAATAACTCGAGCCAGGAACCAATTAAAGTAATAAACATAAAATATAAATACATCTGGTATATTTTAAATTTTGATAAAGATACATGGCATTCATGCGTAATTGTTAATATTTGTTAATTAATTTTTACAATTTTTTTACAATTTCGTAAAATTACGGTGATCTTTTTATTACTCGAAATATTTGCAAGTATAAATATATATTTTTTCGTATGTATATTTTCAATACACTTAACCGAAGAAATTTTGATGCCATTTGCATTTTGTACTTATAAAGTACCTGCACTTTTTATAATCTCTACGTATATGTATATTTTTATAATCTCTATCTAAAAAGTTACCTAAAAATGTCAAGCGGCTCAATTTGTCATTCAAACATTACGTTAAATGTTACGAATTATTAATTTTTTAAGAATAAAGAATCACTCGTCAAATTTTACTCGACAACATGTAAAGGGTTTTCAATTTCTACGTTGCTAACAACGTTAGTTTGAAATTCAACCCAGCATTGTGAACCAGTTGTAATATGAATTGTATGGAATTGAGGAAACGACTAAAGAATTTTCAAGAAATAATGATTATTCTCTTTATGTTTGGGTATAAACGTAATAATGAATGTATTATAGATAATGCGGAACGGTGTGAATTTTTTTTTGTGACATGCAATATTGTGTACAAAGTTTACTATATCATAGGAAGTCGCCATCTTATAAAAAACTTGGTGATTATTAAGTATATGTATATTCTATCGTGTGCTTTCCACACACATATACAGGGAGATATACTTTTCACGCTTGGGCGTTATTGTTATTAGTTATTCGATCGTCCGACGTCCACTTGTGCATAATTTGATACCGTGACTCGTTATTCGAGCCACAAACTAAGCATGTTTCTGCATAATTTGTGGCACGAAAATGCATCGTTAAACAGAACTCGCGCATATGCGAAGGAACGTAAACATCATCGACCAAAAAGTTGTCGATAAATATGTCAGCGGCAAGAAAAACAAATATTTCACTCTTTCAAAAGATTGCTCATTCGATTGTAAGTGCTCAAGGAGTAAGTTGTCGATATTAAAAGAGCATATTAAAACATTTACTTGAGTTATAATCTCGAGAACGCGATATTTGAATGGAATTTGTATATTTGTGTATTTTTGGTCGAAATATATTTTCCTAACAACTTTGATGAGACTTTTCGAGGATATTGAAAGTCGAAAGAGACTTGTATTCCAATTCTTATATTTAATCTTTTATTTAACTATCTTGGAATAAAGAGGTAAATTCACATAAATATAAAATATAAATATTTGAAAGCGCTAGTCGTAACGAAATAATGTAATTATGAGATATATGGTAATTACATTATTTCTGTTCAAATAACATTTTATAATAACTATACATACACACATTACTTATCTTCCTGTGATAAATTTTTAATAAGAAATATTGGCTGACTACGCAAGAGAGAAGAGTTAAAAAATTTTTATCTTTGTGTATTTTAGTTGTTTGGAAAAATGTTGAATGTGCGTGCTTGACAATCAGACGAATCCTCCATACAGTTGCGGTTATCGGTTATCGGTTATCGGTGCGTGCATGTCACGCGTGCAGTCCAATATATCGAACAAATTTAACAAATATTCTTCTTTCTGTTTTCTTTGCAACAAAGGAAGATGCATGGATGCATCTTGGACATAAATCGTACATTCGTAATTTTATTATTTAGTGCACGCGTATATCGCGTTGAAAAATTTATTACGTTGAAGCTTTCGAATGAATATTCTTTCTCTCTCC